AAAAAAAAAAAAAAAAAAAAAAAGAAACCTTACATTGCTAAGAAATCTTCAACCATTTTTTTAACAATGTATTTGATCACATCCTAGAATTTATTAAACGAAGAGAATGAGAATTGGATATTGATTCTAGGTAAATTTAATGAACACAAGTAGTAATATGGGTTTTTATTTCACTTCTGGATGAATTAACATTTAGGATGTGAATTGGATATTGGTTTTAGATAAGTTTAATAAAACATTTTAGGAATCGAATTCTGATTCAAAAGAATCTGATTTTATTTCTCTTGTTCTCATACTTCACACTGATTTTTAATCTCATTCCTATTTGTGAACTGGACTTGTATGTATCAAAATATTGATGAACCAATAATCATTGCTGCTGTGCTACTTTTGGCAGCTGCTGACATTTTACTCTGGAAGGATAAAAGGAAGACATTGATAGCATTGCTAGTTTTGATGGCTATTTATTATAACTTCATTGCTCCTGAGTGTACCATGATCACTGCACTGTCGAAGCTTCTCTTGGTGGCATTCATATTTCTGTTTATTCATGGGATTTTACCAGAAAAAATGTACGTCTGCCTACTCTCCTAGACATGCTGTAAATTGCAGTTACATTTATGACAGATATTGGAATAAAATGGGACCTAGTATCGTGGTGTAGATGGATGGCCTGTGCAATCAAATTAGAAATCGTAGCATCAAATTTCAATTTCTAATTGTAATGATCTTCGTGCAGGTTTGGATATCAAGTTGAGAAAATTTCCTCTTCATGTTTTTCCTTGTCAGAAGAGAGGTCACGAAGCATTGTCATCAATATAGCATCATTTTGGAATTCTTTCGTTAGAAATTTTAAATCTCTTTCCAGAGGGAATGATTGGGTGCGCTTGCTTAAGGTAACCATCTTTGTTCTTTGTTCTTTTATTTTATTTTATTTATTTATTTTTTTTTAATGTTTTTTCGTTATTTCATAAACAAATTTTTGGCCTACTTTCATGCAATGCCCTTGCTATGAAAAGATAGAGATGTGAGAGTACAAGTTTCCCTTGCATATTACATGGATGGACCTTTCCATGCCTCAGTTGATGCTATACAAAATCGAGTTTTGCATCCCTGTGGTCGGCATTGCAATTAATTGATTATTCTTTTTTCTCTCTCTTTTTAATGGCACCATATTTCTTTCTAAAAAAAAGGAGAGATCGTTATAAGGTAAAGACAATACAAAAAGGACGGGAGATAAGATCCCCCCAGAAGAGAAGGGGTATAAAAGCACCCCAAATATAAGCCGATCAAGAAAGTAGGGAACTTAAAAAGCTTTCAGCATAAAGCGCTCCCGGGAACTTAAAAAGCTTTTAGCATAAGGCGCTCCCAGTAGAGGCTTTAAATGATACAAGCTCCAAAAAAATAAAAATTGGAAAGAAACCTGCATAACTCTTTAAAGGTTATATTGTTTCTTTTGATCCAAAGCAGCAAAGCTGTGCTTCTGTGACAGCCTCCTCTAGCAAGATAGAATTTTATGGAGAAGCAAGGAGACAACACTAGGACAGCACCAGGCCGTACCAAAGATGCTAAAATAACATTCAAACTCTTGGTGGTGAAACCACAAAGCAAGAATGGATGGTCATTGGTCTCCCCATCCCTTAAACAGTTAAAATTACCCAAGGATAAAAAGGAGGTTCTTTGTCTGCAACGTGTCTGGAGTGTTCCAGGCTTTGGTAAACGAAGGACCAGGTGAAAGAATTTGATTCTGTTGGGGTATTCCAACTTTCCATTTAAGCTTAAGTATGATCGACTTAGGGTGGAGAATGCAGCTTTGCAAGGCTAACTCCCTGAACTGTACAACATCCAAAAGGCATGATCATAATTTTGATTAGGAACCTGCTTCGTCAAGTTTACATGATAAAGTCAACCCACTCGTCCTGTTGAGAATCCATCCAGTTCACCTATTCAATCCTCTTAAAACATAGATCCCAGGTTCCGTTCTACCCTCTATCTAGCACTGTTACTTGTTTTCCCTTTCAATTTTCAAGAGCATATTAGAAATGAGAGATGCGAAGAAAGAACCAACTGCGTACCTAAAATCCGACTCAAACCATCTAGGTTTTGCACCTCCATGTAGAGCAGTCTTAAGGGCATCTAAAGGAGCCTGCTGGGATTTTTCATGTAAACCAACTAGGTTGAATTTTGCAAATATTCATACCAAGAATGGCTGGTTTTAGCCCATTTATGGTTGGAACTGAAACTAAGCAAAGAGTAACTTTCTCCAACTCTGTACCCGCAACATTTCTCATTATCACTGCTGTAAATGATAGTGGGGTAACGCGAACTTCCTGGATTTTCCATTGAAGCCCTAAATCCTGCCTTCCACCTTTAATTTGTCTATAAAATGCTTAAGAACCAACTACAAGCATAAAGAGAAAGGGGAGAGGATGGATACTCTTGCCTTGATGGGCCGTTTGGTATACAAGGTATTAGAGGATAGAAATGGGTAAGGATTTGTGATTCCCTTGTTTGATACAAGGTTTATGGAGTTGGCCATGGAGATAATCTATTTCTGGGCATCATTTACACCCATACATAAGAGTAGTCTAGACCCATACAAAAGTATGGGTTTTCTCTTTGCCTTGGGTCTTTTTTATCTTCTTTTAAACATTTTTATATTTAGCTTTTATGTTGAGCAATTAGTTAATTGATTGATGTGGATGTGGATGCTCAAGTTAATATAATTAATTATTTAGTTAGAATAAATTAATAATAATTTATCAAAATACATGATCATTTTTCTGATACAAAAATTTATTAAATGAATGCTATCACTTTGCTGCAATTATTTGTTAACATCTTAATTTACTTAATTAAAATTGGTTAAATTAATTTAGTAAAATCCTTTGTCAATAATTATAATCAATCATTTTTTATCTGTTTGTTGGATAATTTTGATTAGTTCATTAATTAATATATCAAAATTATACAAAAAAAATTGGGAATAATTTCATAAATAAACGGTAAACATCATTATTCCCATACTAATCGGATAGCAGCCAAACTTAGTCATATTTAATTTCCGGTAATATTATTTTCATACATCTCATTCTGATGCAATGTTTCCCATGGACATTAAGGATTATTTTTTATTTTTTATTTTTATTTTTAATAAATGGTCCCTATTCTCTAAAACAAATACCTTACCCTTTGGTTTATCATTGATCATTGATGAAGAAGGATTCACCTCCACAATCCTCCATCTTGGAATGATCCACCTCTTTCTCCCTGGCCCCCCAAATTAATGTTAGTGTTATTAAGTAAAGGGCAATATAAATCTCTTTTTTTTGTTTTTTGGTTACAATCTGAGACATGGATGCAATGTCTGATTTTAACAACCTAAATTGGTTAATGTAGAAAACAAAAGTAATGGGTATTCGAAAAATCAAAGTACGAGATATTCATATACTGTAAATTTAGAATCGTGTTTGATCAACTTAGATGTTGTTTTCATCAATTAACAGGTTTCTGTAGCACTGTTGGCTCTTAGCTTTATTGGACTGGTTTCTCTTCAAACTTTATATAAGACAGGTTCCTCTCTCTCCCTCTCTCCTCCTCCCCCATTGTATCATGAACTCTAGCAATCTCAATCATCTGGAATTGTAGGTTGATACCAAAGATAATTTGTCTCGACATATAAATTTTCCTTATTCATTATGTTCTTATCATTGTTCCTAATGCCTTCTTTGAATTTTTTCAATTTTCTTTTTGTCTTTATTTTCTTAAAAGAATTATTTGGATCACAGAAGTTCATACATATGTTTTGAGGAAAATCATTTATTTTAGAGACGTAACTTCCCATTCACTTTGATTTTAGTACTTTGGAGTTCTACGGATGAAAGTTTTTTATTTGCACGTACCATCTAGAAAGCTGAAGTATATTTGTCATAATATTGCAGTTGTTCTATTCGCCTTCACAGTTTTCTTCATATACGAGAAAAAGGAGCAAGAGATCGATTCTTTGTGTCAAAAATTTCAATTTTGGACGCAAAAGAAATGCAATGTGGTCGGAAAAGTTTCTACTTCACAAGAATAACGTGATTAGTGCAAGTTGTGTTTATACTAAGTGGCACCAAAGTTTACGTCCTCATCTTGCATTTCTGCCGAAGTGGGCTCATGCCCTGTTACAAATTTAATAAGCTTTATTCCGTGTCTCTGTTGGTTATCTTTTTCCATTTCCCCCTAGGGCTCGTGTAATTTCTTTCGCTCGTTGACAAACCTCCCCACCCTCAAATATATATGAAGAATTAATTTATTTCAATTTTACATATTACAATGTCAAGACGTTAATTATTTCAGTTGAAGATGGTTTGGGACATGTATTATTTAGAACTTTTGCTTGCTTATTCACAGACCCAAATTAGATATTCACAGGAAACTTGTTGAAAAGCACATGGATGATCTTGAAGACTGTTTCTTTTCCATAAAGCTTTTTGGTGAGGTTTATCACGGTTATCACCCTATCCTGATTGCTACCGTTGAAAATAGTAGTGCTTTCCTTAAAGCCTGACTTACATATGAAGCAATTGTACCTCTTTTTCAATTTAAATTTGTGTTCTGATCCTTATTTAATGGGTGATTCAAACAGGAGAACCATGAGAGAGACATGCACTTGAAGATCATGCTTCTTCAATGATTGCCACGAGCAAAATATTTGAAGTTCAATTACCCCTCGGTTGAAAGGTAGATGTCCTCTCCTCATTTTCATTGCTCTATTACATGGTGTTACGAAACTGCAATGACTTCCTTGTTGATGATGTTTTTTTTTTTAAAACTATTTTTTCCTAGTTAAAAACGTTTTTAAGTCAAGAAATTCCTTGGAAGTACCAAAATAGAGACACCAACCTGATAGGTCGTTTAACTAGATGAAACTTTATGTAACAACTTAAGCTTATCGCTAATAAATATTGTCTTCTTTGGACTTTTCCTTTCCAGTTTCCCTCTCAGATCCCACATTGGTTGGGGAGGAGAATGAAGCATTGCTCATAAGGGTGTGGAAACCTCTCTTTAGCAAACGTGTTTTAAAAACCTTGAGGGAAAGTCCAAAGAGAACAATATCGGCTAGTGGTGGGTAACCTTGAGGGAAAGTCTAAAGAGAACAATATCGACTAGTGGTGGGTTTCGGGCGTTACACTTTATCCATTTGGCCAACTTAGTGTTCATCAGCTGGTGCTTTTTTATCTGCTTGGAGATTGATAGTTTCGTTGACCCTCTGGCCTCTATTGATCTTTAACCAACTTTTTCCCTTTCCTGTTTCTTTCACTAACTTGGTGACGACCGGGCCTACTGACATACCCAAAAATGGCCGCACACCACTTTCTTTTCAATTGCAATTACTAGATAAGGCTTCTTTAGTTGACACTTTCTAGGTCTAAGCTAAACTAAAAGGTTGTCAGCTACAGTGTTTCCGATAGCAGTCTAACTAATTCTACATGTATACCCCTCTCTGGCTAGTCAAATAAAAACACATCAAAATATTTTTCTTCACCCTGGAAGAGGTACAGGTTCTTTGAGAGTGGCCGGGGATTGATGCCCTACTCTTATCTGTTTCTTCCTGAGCCTCCAAGTCTAGGACAACTTAAATCAATTGGTCATTTGCTGCTAGAGTGATTTAAATTTTAGGCTAAATTTCAAAAAGCACTCCCGAACTTTGTCCTTTGTTTAAAAAATACCTATGATCTTTCAAATTTTGCTATACTACTGTTGATCTTTTTTATAAATGATTCAGAACTAGCCTTAGTAGAAATCCTTTAGAATATAAGATGAAAATTGAGATTTATAATTGGTGTGGTACCGACTTGGAATAGTGTCTACGTTGTTTGGCGGATGTTCTCCGTTCCAAGTAAATGCCACACCATTCTTTGTTATATTATTGTTAACCATTTATGAACGTTTTAGAATTAGCTTTCGTTTGTAATACAAACTCAAATTAGGTGAAAAAAAAAAAAGGGCTTTTACTTGGGGTGGGTTAGGTGTTAGTTCAGATATTTTTCGAAAATTAATTAGAGTTTGGACTTCAATCCAATCCATCTAAATTAATTAATAATTACAGTTTTCTTTTCTTTTCTTGCAATAAAGTTATTTGTGCATGTCGTTATCTTTTTTAACTTCATTTTCACTCGATGACGACCCTTTTTTTTAAAAAAAAATAGTTAAAGTTCAGCCATTATTTTAATTTAATGCTTGAAAGTAAGGAAAGATATCATCATTTTGTGTATGTGTTCCCATTTAGCATACATCACATTACACGATCCAATTTAGAAGCAATGTTTAAGGGAAGAGTTGGGACCATACCACACTCTTCATCCACCTTTCTCAAATTTTAAGGCACATTTTACTCTAACTTTATATTGTATTAAATGCAATATAAATTGTAAGATCAAATGTCTTATTTATTTTGAATGATAGGGGTGTTCGTATGACCCAAGAACTCAGCTAATTCGAACTACTCCATACTTAGGTTTTTTTTTTATAGTTTGGATTGAGTTGAATTTTTTAAAAATTGAAAATTTGAGTCAGTTTACCGAGTTCATATTTTTTTGTCAGATCAATTTTACCAATTAAGCTAACTCTAAAATAATTTATGTTTGAATTTTATGAGATTTTAGTTATTAGTGTAAACTGATATTTGAATTTTATGAGATTTTAGTTTATTAATGTAAATTGATTCTTGAATTTTATGAGATTTTAGTTATTAATATAACATGTAATTGTGTTTTAGATAAGTATGATTTTTGTTTTTTTATTTTTAAACGAACTTGAAAATAGAAGGTTGAGTAGGGTTATGAACTCTATTCGAGTTACGTCACCAACCGAACCAACTCAAAAAAAAAATTCAGAGAAAATGTACCGTAGTATTTCAATCATCCCTTTTGAATGAAACCCTAATCGGATGTTTCGTTCAAAGCAATTTACGTTCTTTAAAAGAATTTTCAGAATTTTTTAAATAGTTTTGGTTAAAATCTGTCCTGTTTTGTGAGATTTTAGAATTAACTCGAGTTTTGAACAATGTAATGATTATCAAGCTATTTCCTAAATGTCATTAAATTCGACATTTTTTTTTACTCATGGGTACTTGAATTATATCTTGTTGATGGATGGATTAAATTTTAAAGACAATAAAATATAATTATAAAAATTAAAAATTAACACATTAAATTTGAAGTTTTAAAAAATAAAACCAAATTAAAATTTCAAACAAATAATTATATTAATTAACAATTTAGACTCTTTATTAGAAAGTTATAACTACTTTCTTTTCTAAGTAAGGAAAAAAAAGTAGTTGTATTAATTCAAATTTGAAAATTAAAAATTAAATAAAAACTATATTCTAAAATAGATTTTTTTTTCTAATTTAATATATAAGTATTTATTTAATATTTTCAAAGCTTATATATTTTGTTAGACATTAAGAAAAAAGAAAATTAAATAGATAAAAATTGTAATATTATTTATTAACCTCGAAGGTTGAAACTTTGAAGAGCAGGAAGAAGTGTAGCAGTAAAGCCGGAGTTGAATGCTCCACTCTCAAAGCTCTGCACTTTACTTCACAAAAGTTGGGTTTCGCGTGTAAAGGAGAAGCTTGGATTACTCTCAAGAATCCCCCATTTTGTTTTTAATTCCATTTGTTCTTCCTTTTCAATCCCTATTTTGCTTTTCTCTTCGATTTGTTCTTCCCAATCCAATTTTCCCTTTTCCCTTTTCCATTTCTGAGATTATTTCTTCTGATTCGGTCAAATAATCTTCCGAAATCTTCTTTTCATGTCATTTCTGCCTCCTCGTTACGGATTACGCTCTGTAATGTTTCAAAATTCCTTCCCGCCTTTGATTAAATTACACATTTTCCCTTCCTTTTGCCTGTTCTTCGATCTCCTTTCTCGGAATCGCCACGGTGTTCAGTTTTATGCAATGAGTATATTCCATCATTTCGATTCTTAGTCGTTTTTTGTGCTCTTTTTGTCGTTCTAGGGTTTAACTTTTCTAAATCTGTCCTGTTTTGAGGTTTTGCAGTAAGGTAATTGGCGTTGGTGGTGGTTATGGGAGGTGGTACGGTCGATGTGGTTAGCAGTAAAGGTTGTTCGCGGCTGCTTTTTGGATTCTCATCGCCGCTATCGTCATTGGGAGGTTTGCAACAGCTTGACTCCATGTCTCTTGCTTCATCGTCTTCAAGGTCTGAATCGGTGAAAGCTTCATTAACTGGTCCCTTTACTGGACTCGTAATTTGCGTTACTGGTTTATCTAAAGGTTGGTTATATGCTATAAATCTTTTCTTCAATGTTCTTATTCTTTGTGATCATCATTGTTCATGTGTATTTTGAGTTTACTTGTGAATCTTTTCTTCTGCTTCTTCAATTCGTCTCGGTTGTGGAGCTTGTAAGATGAAAACCTCTCCCTAGCAGACACATTTGAAAACCTTGAGGAGAAGCTCGAACGGGAAAGCTTAAAGAGGACAATATCTGCTAGTGGTGGGCTTAGGCTATTACAAATGGCATTAGAGTCAAGACACCGGGTGATGTGCCAGTGAGGAGGCTGTTCCTCGAAGGGGTAGACACGAGGTGGTGTGCCAGCAAGGATGCTGGGCCCTGAAGGGGGTGGATTTGGTGGGGAGGTTGTTCCCCGAAGGGGGTAGACATGAGGTGGTGTGCCAACAAAGACGGTGGGCCCTAAAGGGGGTGGATTTAGTGGGGGTCCCACGTTGATTGGAGCAATGAATGAGTGCCAGCGAGGACGTTGGGCCCTGAGGGGGGTGGATTGTGAGATCTCACTTCGGTTGGGGAGGAAACACCCTCTATAATAGTGTGGAAACTTTTACCTAGCAGACGCATTTTAAAAACCTTGAGGGGAAGCCCGAAAGGGAAAGCCCAAAAAGGACAATATCGGCTAGCGGTGGGCTTCTACTGTTACAAAAATTCTAATGGTTTTCAGCTTGTTTAACCAATTATTCCAAATATTGATAGTTTCTAAATAAAGAATGTTGTTGAGATATCTGTTTAAGATGTCTATAATGATGATTTGTTCATCTTTGAATAAGTTTTGCTGCAATTATCGATAATTTGCTTCTTGTTTTTGGCAGAAGCAAGGAAACAAGTTAAGGAAGCTACAGAGAGATTAGGTGGACAATACAGCCCCAATTTGCATCCACAATGCACTCATTTGGTGGTTCAAATATCCTTTAGCTTATCTTGGGTATACTTAACTTTGTTTCTTTTTTTTAATATGATATTGGTTGGGCATTCAAACCCCTTTGGTAAAACTTTTATGACCTGCATCCCTACTTGTTTTGTACTGAATTACCAGATTTTGTTGATAGGGTTAATAAGAA